GAAAATGGGTGGATGTTTTAAAAATAAGACCACCAAAGTATGGTGACAGCTATAAAACTAATGAGATGGATTCCAGGTTATTTTGCAGATACTAATGTCAGCTAACCAGACTGAGGTACATACAGTATCTATGCATGATTTTGATCCATGCATGATATGCACTTGGGCATATTAACAAAGACAGATGCTAAGTTTATTCACATTTCTTAATCACCAAGTGCTGGAAAGCCAAACATTAAAAAAAATAATGTATCTTACTCAAAGACGCTCATTGAGAAATATAGTTAGCTTTCGGATAGAAAGACTGGCCCTGAAGCTTTAGCTGTATGTCTCTCTTTACAGAATCTATTCAGAGAAATGTACCCTTTATGATAACACATACTGTATTCACAGAAATGCAAGATGTAGAGACATTTCCTACCCTTTATTGTGTGTTTTGCTCTTAAATTCCACAGATATATAGATAGCTTAGAAACTTAGAACATTTTATTCCCACAAAGAATGTATATTTATTAATAGTTTGTTTTGGATTATTTACCTTTTTTGATTACTAATGTCACTCTTACTTGTTTCTCTATCAGGAAAGTCTTATGTAGCATAGACAGTACAGTATCTGTTTTTATTCCTTCACAGTCATGTTATTGCACCCATTACTACTTACACCTGCACATTCCTTTTACTTCAGATTATTGCCACCAAATACACTGACTAATCCTTTGTAGCTCGCACTATCAAAGTGCTTATCTGTGCCACACATAAAAAGCAGGGGTGTCTCTGAAATGAAGAAATGGAAAAAAGGGGTAGAAAAAGTGCAGTGCATACTGTTCATTTATAAGCAAGCTTAGCTCTTCACATGAGACAGCGGATCTTTGGTTTGCTCTGTTTCAACCACCTGCTGGACAGTGCCTTTTAAATTTTAATGTTAATTGCTCCTATTGTCTGCCAGCGGGATGTGCAGTGCATCAGGGTCAGCATGCATTAGATCAGCTCTCTCTGCCAGGTGGAAGCCTCGCACCAGGGGTCAGCAAATCATGTGAGCTTTCCCAGAGCATGAAGTTCGCCCTACTGAATAAATTACCAAGCATTTAAATTCCCTTCCAAACAAAGTACAACAGGACAGGTTTCAAACTTCCTCAGAGATTTGTGCATCGCCACGTCATGATTTCCTGGGTTAAACCTTTCATGTTATACTTTACCACTTCAAGCCTTTGAGCTATGACACAATCATCATTTTAAGCCGGTCTGATTTTAGCCACTCGGAAAGAAGATGTGATGAGATGGAGGAGGTCTGATGCAATGATTGTTAACCTGTTACTCCCTGAGCAATGACAATCTTCACAGTTACTCCTATTTCATACATAATTCCTATAGTTTAGGACCTATATAGAGATGTCTACAACAATGGACTCCAATTATTCAGTCCATTTAAATTAATTTTGTTGATATTTAAACAAACAGCAAGACTCGTGCAGAGGGATCACAGATGTTGTCCTTTGCCTTGGTTCCTCTGCACGGTTTGTTAAATGAAATTGCTGTGCACACATTCTCTCTGTCTTCATTATCTGTTTACAAATGCTAAGCAAATTAGCCATTTGATGCACACAGAACTAGACTGGCAGTAGTCACACACTAAGACATTTAAAGGGGAACCTCTAAAAGAGTAATGATTAGAGATGAGAGATGATTATATATAAGCAGAAATAGATGATTATGTATAAACGGATAGCAGAAAGGGTTTTATTTTTCAAAATTTAACACTTTTCCAGGACTTCTATCCAGGTGTATTTGTAAATAAATGCATATTTTTCTTCTGGAAGTTGTTTTTCGCCCATTTTATAACCCTAAGGTGCAGCCCCATCTACTGGTCAAAGCGAAGCACCCAACATCTTTTGTTACTGTAGTGCACTGACGTGAACAGACTGTGCATTTTAATGAAATGATAGCCTTAAAATTAAAAGGAATGAAGATGATCAACACTAATGGGAAATTAATATGTAATTTCAGTAGGCTATCTAGGAAGAAAAACTGTTTTTTTTCCCTTTATTTTCTGATAACTGTACACATACTGCATTGGATACAGTAGTCCATTTCATTTTCACTGAATTGCTTTGCATGTCATATTATTTCGCATTCTGGAGACTGGAAGGAAATTGAGCATTTGATAGAAAAGTGATTTATAGGTGCCCGGCTGGGGTTATCTTCACTTTAAAATGTACCATTATGCATCACAATATGCATTCTAGCTACATAAATATGGAATTGTTGGATTTTTATACTGTATATTCACTGTGTATGCATGGAGAATGAGTTACTTATGATGTATGCAGGCCATTCAGATATTCTCATAGGAAACAAAAGTGTGAAACAGTGATTTTGTGAGCTTAACCAAGTGATTATAGAACTTGTATAAAATTTTTACCAGTATTACTTACTGTACATGATTAAGGTGAGCCTGTACACATTATACCATTTATTAATTAACAAAAAATAGCAAATTTAGTATTTTCATAGTTAAAAAAAATATTTATAAGGAAATATAAAAATGCAGTTACAGTAAATTATTTGTACAAGGGCATTTTTTGATTCTTTTTGTTCTTTTGATTTCTTGTGTGAGTATAAAGAAGATGCCAAGACTTTAAATAATTGGGAAAGACATGTAATATCCTAATTAATGGTTTAAATTTGGAAAGAATGATTGCAATATTGGTGCGGCATGGTGGCGCAGTGGTTAGTATTGCTGCTTCACAGCACTGGGGCCTTGGGTTCGATTCTAAACCTGGAGTGCTATCTGTGTAGAGTTTGTATGTTCTCCCCATCTTAGCAAGGCATTGCTGTTAAATAGATAGATACTTTATTGATCCTGTGAGGGAAATTGCAGTGCAACAGCAGCTTAACACAGACAACACAGCCACAGTGTGACGAATGATATAATAATAATACAACACATACAGTCCAAAGACATAGTGGTAGGTTAAGTGGCTTCTGAGAAAACTGGCCATTGTGTGAGTATGAGCTTGCCTGTGTCTATGCATTCCCTCTAACAGACTGGAGTCCCATCCTAACCTGTGTCTGTTGCTTACAAGGATAAATACCAGCTTACCCACACCCCTTTGAATAAAGTAGTTAAAAATGGATGGATGGAATTGCAATGTTCTAAAGTTTGAATTCGTAAGCATCATGTTACAAGTTAATTAGCCGTGACTAAAAGGAGAGAACATAAAGAACATCTGGTTAAGGTGAGGTTGTTTCTGCAGTTTTTGACAGAAGAATTGTGCTTGAGTTTATTCTGTATATTGGGGTCTGAGAAAGTTGTTTTAGAAATAAGTATATTTATATATTCCACTGTTGGTTTTTTGCAGGAAAATTTGATCGAATTATTTATTTTATAATAGGAGCAATTTTTGTCCGTTGGAGTTAAGTGTTTTTTCAAGATTTCCAGGTTAAGTGGAATAAATTCCCAGCTGTTGTGATAAAATAATAATGATTAATCCATAATGAATCCACTCAAATAAGTTTTCTGGTAACTGTGTTACCAGATATGCAATTGTTGTATATTTTTAGACATGACAGTAACACTAAAAATGTTTGTTTATTATCTTTTTAAATCTGTGTTTGCTATGTGATATAAACAACTGGAGGAGGTTCATATGCATTATCAATCAAATGTTGAACATATATATGTAGGTATTGCAGGTTCTTTTCACACCCATATAGAAAAATATATTCTTATCTGTAGTGTTGCAAATGCAAAATAACTGAAAAGGATTTTTTTAAAGATTTTTGAGACCAAATACATAATAATTCAGTACTCTTTGATTAAATGTTACGCAATCAATATTAAGAAGCAGTAGTCAAAAATGCAATCAATTCAAATTAATTCACTTCTAATTTAGAATGTTGGCTTCACAAAACAGATGTTTATAATAAACTTTAGTAAGAAACATTAGCTTTTCATCAAAATGAAAGGAGTCTTTGAATCTACACTCATATTTAGATATTTAGTTTATATCACTACCTAGAACTCTGCTCTCCTTAAAAGGAAAATGGTAGTTTTTTAGCAATGTTTTGTGTCCAAAGTGAAGCTGATAACTGATAAGACTTATAAAATGCTGTTGTATGGACCAACAGGAGATGTATTTACCATGTTGTCATATATGGTTGTGATGTCCTAAAGAAAAAAATAGGTGAAGAAATACTCATTTAAAATAAATCTATTCCTTACAGTTCTTATATTAATTAGTATTTTCGTTGGTAAAATATTCTGGTTGTTCTCTAGAATTTACTGCTACTTTGTCTCTCAGTTGTTGTTTTTTTTAATTTAGTTTGTGTATTGGCCCATTCAAATAAAAACTTTGGTCTGGAATAAATTTCAATTAATTTTTCACTCACTAATTCCAAATCCTATGCTTCATGTCAGTTTTATATTTAGTTGGCACAAGAATCCCCCCAAGCAAACAAAGCGCCTGCTCACAAGGGAAGCATTTAGGATTTGCTGTTGATGTTTGGGTTTATGTTTTAATTTAATCCAGGCCTAAGATTCAATAAAAGTTTGTGTGAGATAAAAATGATGAATAGCATTACAGAATTTCTGTGTTTCAGACCACACATGTGGTTCAAATTCCTAACTAAAATGTCATTCCATGTTCTAACAGATAACAGAGATGAGTTTTTTAAAAGATGATCATTACAGTGTAACAACCATATCATACTTCACTAGACATTTATGCCACATTCATGAGGGCTTATCTGAGCCGAGTATGTGTGGTAATTCAATAATTCCTCTGGCCACATTGTCAGACACAGTGCTGAAATGCTAATTGCTACTGAGCGATTGCCAAGTCTGCATACTCATATTAACATGCATCCTCCACTCTTGGTTTATTTCAAAAGGATGTTGTGGGTTATTCACTTCGTCACTTGATGCTAATTTCAATATCAAACTGAATGTGTTATAATATGGTCTTCCTTTTTCCTCCCCTTCTTCTTTTTGTTTGTTTCAGGTGATTGACATTAAAGAGAAGCTGAAGCATTCTAAGAAGTTCTGGTCCACTTTACCAGACAGTATATGTGTGGATGACAAAGTGACAGCTGGCAAGTCGAATGAAGAGGAATGCTGGAATGGTCACACAAAGGGGAGGTGAGGTCGCAGAACTGTCACGCTGCTGGTATTATTTAGAAGGAGTTCAATAGGAGGTCAAATTCTAATGTGCCTCTACTCCCTCACATATAAATACTCCCTGGCTACCCCCAACTCTGCTTGCATCTTTTCTAGCGGCCCTCTCTTCACCTTAAATTCACCATTTCAGCATTTTCCCCCTGGCTTATCCTTCATAAGTGAGAGGGGATGTGACAGCACTGATCCTTGGCCAATGCTGTCATTTCCTCAACTAGGCAAGTTATTGCCAAAGTATTGATTATAAATTCATCAGCTTGTTTAATTGTTGTTAAATGGTACTTGGGAAGCTTGCAGCTAGACAAACGGGGAACAGCCATATCACCTTGCAGCTCACCACTGGCAGCCAGCCCACTGAAGCTAAGTAGGTTTGACCCTGGTCAGTACCTGGATGAGGAGACCTCCTGGGACAAACTAAGGTTGCTGCTGCAGTGGGGCCGGTAGCAGGCACTCACCATGTGGTCTGTGTGGGACACTATACTGTAAAAAGGTGCTGTCCTTCAGATGAGACATACTGTAAAACCTAGGTCTTGATTCTCTATGGTAATTAAAAATCCCAGGGCATTTCTCATAAAAAGTGGGGATGCTACCCTGGCATCCTAGCCAAATTTCCAATTGGCCTTTACCAATCATGGCCTCCTAATAATCCTCACCTATGAATTGACTCTGTTCTCCTACCCACTGATAGCTGTTGTATGGTACAGTGTGCACTTTGTCTGCCATTGCATCATCCAGGTGGATGCTGCACATTGGTAGTGGTGTAGGATATAGGAGTCCCTATTACCTGTAAAGTGCTTTGAGTGGAGTGTTCAGGAAAGTGCTATATAAGTGTAAGAAATTATTATTATTATTATTATTATTATTATTAAAGTCTAACCCTCAATGGAATCAGTTGACCACAGTAATACTAACTGTGACTGTTAGATTTAAGTATAAGACCTGTATTAAGCCACTTGCTAAGATTAACCTACACTAGTTTATATAATTACGTTTACATTATGCAGGTGAGGTACTGTAGAACGAAAGATTACACACATATGGTGTCATGAGAAGAGATATGCTCTCTCTTAAATTCACCAAGCAGATTCTTCAAATGAAACCATTAAGCTAAACAGACCACGAGACTCTTTTCTTCTCAGAGGAAGTTTACTGCTTGTGTTAATTTTGTTTGATGTTTTTCTAATCAGATCAAAAAGCTTAGCAGACGCATATTTTAAATCCAGTTACTTCAGTGTGAGACTAATTGCATTAGCAGCAAAATATTGGACAAATGAGTTTTAATACTAGAGCATTCCATATGGGAAAAGCCAAACCCCACTGATGAAGTTTCCAGATTTATTATTTCAGCTTACTTTGAAAGTGCAAGAAGTGTAACATTCATAAAGATGAGCAGCAGGTTACTAGGAGTCAATTTTACTTTCATAAATTGAAACTACCTTTACTTTTTTAACCTTTACTTTCAAAGCTCATCATTGTACCTTCAATCTGAGAGGTTCATATTTTCCTTTTACCATGCACATGTGTTGCATACCTCTATGGCCAAAAGGCAACATAATATCATAAACAAATATAAAAGATTTGATATATTTTAGAAATCCTGGCAATGTAGTAAAGTAGTAGTAGTAGTACTGTATTTCTATTACTATACCATTTGAGCCATTCATTATATATATATAAGCCATTCATTATATATATATATTCATACTGTTTTATACGACAAATTAAGGTACTTTGTTTCTAATCCCAAAACTTTCATTTACCTTATAATATGAAACCCAATTTAATAAGTCATGGTGATATGATGTGCAAAGACAATATAATAAATTTAGACTTCCCAAACAGTCATATACATGTAGATATAAACAGTGTGGCACCTCAAACCAACTGTAAAAAAATGTATGCAATGTAGAAACACACATCCCAAAAATGATATCGGATGAGCATAATGTTTACAGGCTTTAACTACTACACAAATTTTGATCATTAAGATACATTTTAAGTGATAAACATGCACAGCAGTATGTAATGAAACTTGACAATATCATTATGAACCAGAGAAAAATCAACAAAGCATGGAGCAAAGCTTCTGGATTCCCTTTTGGCAAAGAATGTCAAGTTGCTGGGAAGACATGATGGCAGTCTTTTGGTTTCTATGGTAATTAAGCTTTGAAGAAATCCATACTGCTCTAACTTTAATGTCAACTGAAAACATTTTCAATGCACTAATATGAAAAATCATAGTGAGATGAGAAATGTAATTCTGCATATGAGTCTTAGGTTGCAAATTAGTTGTAATGGTTTGACCATGAATTAAAAGAACTACACTAATCTTAAGTCTTTTCTTGTGGAAACCCTTAGGAAATTCCATTATAGGTCTTATCATCTTACTTTAAAGTGACACAATGTATTAAGCAAGCAATGCCTGCTTGTGTTGCTATTTTAGCTTTAGTTTCATGACATTTTAATCAATCAGTTTTGCGGATAAAACTTTCAGCCTGATCCTTGTGTCTGTGAAATCTGTCATTGAATTTTGTAGTGTGGAAGTTGAGGAGTTCAACTTTAAAATATATGTTAGCAAAATGTAGTACACTGATTTTCACGCTAAATGCATTATTTCTGACTATCAAGAAGACAAGTGAATGTCATAGACTGCAGTGCAGGTAGGGTTCTCTTCTGGTGATTAATTTAAAATAGGTGACAAAGCACAATGCAGTTGAAAGCCATCTTTATCTGCCTTAATTTGCCCCGAAAGGATTTTAGTGGAATGACGCATGTCCATTCTCCATGTACAAAGCTCTCTGGTAGTTGACACAGCTGAGTTTTCTGCATGTGGGCATCTGTTCACAGTTTCATTAATAATATGCCAGAATGACTGGCATATTTTTACCACTGTTTCCTTTTTTTGGCCACGATGAAGCAATAATGCCACCAGATGGTATAATAAAATATCTTTTATATATTTGGTACATACTGTGCAGACTCTTTTTACTTTTGCTGGCTTACAAGGCAGGATATCCTCCCCCATCTTCTGCCACCCCCAACAAGGGAGCACTCAAAATATTAAGACCAATGTTAAAATTTCCTGGATGTTTGATTGCATGCACTGTGTGTAAACTACTAGCTAGTTACTACTAGCTACTACTAGTATACTACTAGCATATGGGGATTACTTTGGCAAAGAAACCAATTTATTATTTGTTCATAACCTGTGAAAAAGTTGGGTAACTTTTGTTTTCATTTTGCATAACTATTTTATCTGTTCAATAAGCTACACTGGCAGTGAGAGATTTCAGCATTGCTAATTATAATCATTTAATCAAATGGAGGTCCTTTCCACTCAAACCACTACACTGTCCCAGTGAATGCAAACATTCACTTCCACACATTTAACTGCCACACAATTTAAAATAACACCTGTAGCATTTTCAGTAATATGCTCAATATAAAGTAACATGTGATCCAAGTCTTCTGAGGTAGCTCTAAGAAAAACTCTGGTGCCAACTTAGTTCTTAGTACAATGTTTGGGAGCAAAGCAAATAATAGGGCTTTTTGGAAGGGACTAAATGTAAGAAGTGATTACAGCAGACCCTGCAGAACCTGATGTGCATCAATTATTCTTTCAACATGGATAGTTTCATAGGAGTTCACAGTACTCAGTGTTGTGAACCTTGACAAACTTCTGTATTTTCCAAGAACATCAATATTTGTAGAACAGAAAAAAGTCTGAATTATTAAAATAATTATTTGGACTTTGTCATAGCTGAGTTATTCTTATATTTGTATTATAATATAAATATTATATTTATATTTGTCACCAGCTCTCCCAGAAGTTTTTCAGACACAACAATTAAGCAAACTTACAGAGTAGATCTTAATGTGCTGTAATGTTGCCATAGCCAAAATGTAAATGTAGTGGCTCTCTGAAGGCACCAGTTCTGTAGGGTTTGGGCATTTACTGGGACAATTATTAATTGTAGCAGTAAATCACAAAATTGATTCTTTTGATGGCTTTAGAATCCAACCATGCGACATAACTCAAACAACGCACACTCACAGGTACTAATACACG